CCAGTCCAGTTATGATGATGTCTGTATTGACATGGGAGCACTGCTGACATCCAGGTCCATTTTAAGGTCTGGTGCCTTGGTGAAAATGGGAGTTAGGTAGCCTGTTGTGTGAGAAAGACAGTTTGAAATTTAGGGGCTGTCTGTAAGCCAGGATAGGTTTGTCCCCCATAGCTAATTTGAGATGGTCATCCTTTTCCAGGAAGGGGTGGAAGTCATTAATGATATGTCCAAGGTGTTCCAGGTGGGAGTTGTAGGTGACAACCAGAAGGATTTTGTCCTTGTCCCAGGGTTGGTATTGGAGCAGGTCAGAGAGAGGTCTGAGACTGGCTTTGTTGTTTTGAGTAACTACAGTTTGGGAATTGGATTATAACTGAAGGAATCCCTGTCCCACTTTCTTAAGGTAAAAATCTTAGTCATTGGGATCAGAGCAGATATGGTTGTAACACTGATGGCAGTGGATCTAGTGGTATGCTTAGGGTGAAAGCTGGTGGTGTGAAGGTAGCTGTGGTGATCAGTTGCTTTTTGATACAACATGAAGGTGATAGGGCCATTGTAAAACTTCACTGTCGGGTCTAGGAATTGAATTTCCTGGGTGGAGAATTCCAGAGTTAGTCAGATGGAGAGCTGGAACTTATTAAAGTCCTCTGGAGAGTCTTTCCCATGTATCCAAACAATGAAGATATCATCAGTGTACCTCAGGTATATTTGGGGGGATAAGAGGGCAGCTGTGGAGGAAACCAACTTCAAGGTCTATAATAAATAGTTTGACATACTGGAGAGCCATATATGTGCCAATGGGAATGCCATTAGTTTATAGGTATAGGGAGTCCCCAGATCTGAAACAGTTGTATGTGAGGGCAAAGCAGGAGAGTGTAATGGAAATAAAACCAGTCCTCATCAGGCATTCTGTATGACTTGACAGCCATTCTCATGCTGGATGTGACATCCATGGTAGCTAATAGAATTGTAGAAAATTAGGGTTGGAAGGGACCTAAAGAGGTCATCTAGCCCAACCTCCTGCTCAAAGTGGAACCATCCCCAACTATCTCATCCCAGCCAAGGCTTTGTCTAAATGGGTCTTTAAAACCTCCAAGGATGGAGATTCTACAACCTCTCTGGATAACCTGTTCCAGTGCTATACTACCCTCCTAGTGAGAATTTTTTTCGTAATATCCAACCTAAACTTCCCTTACTACAACTTGAGATTATTGCTCCTTGTTCTGACATCTGCCACCACTGAGAACAGTCCAGTTCATCCTCTTTGGAACCACCCTGCAGGTAGTTAAAGGTTGCTATCAAATCTCCCCTCGGTCTCCTCTTCTGCAGACTACATAAGCCCAGTCCTCTCACCATCTCCTCATAAGTCATGTCCCCCAGCCCCCTAACCATTTTTGTTGCCCTTCACTGGACTCTCTCAATTTGTCTACATACTTTATGTAATGGGGGCCCCAAAACTGGACACAGTACTCCAGATGTGGTCTCACCAGTGCCAAATAGAAGAGAAGAATCACTTACCTTGATCTGCTGGCAACACTCCTACCGATGCCGTTAGTATGCCGTTAGCCCACTATGCCTTTAGCCTTCTTCACAACAAAGGCACATTGTTGGACTGGTGTTTGCTAATATGGTGCTTGCTAGAAGCTTATCAATGAAGCCCTGTTTCTTTGAGAAGTCTGTGCTGTGTGTCTTTCAAAGTAGCTGGCAGCTCCAGTGGCATGTGGGAATAGGACAGTCAACACTGCCAAAATTTTCCCCCATAATAGTGCCAATACCAGAGACAATGGTGCTCAGAGAATTGTAGGAAATTAGGGCTGGAAGGGACCTCATAAGGTCATCTAGTCCAGCCCACTTGCTCAAGGCAGGATTGTATCTGACTAAACCATCCCAACCAAGTGTATGTCCAATCTGCTCTTGCAAACTTCCAAAGATGGAGAGTCCCAAGTTTCTCTAGGTAGGCTGTTCCAATGCTTAGCCACCCTTATATCTCTCATGCTGTGGCTCACTTCCAAAAATCCTGTGTGTGAAAGGCAGTGACATAATGTCTGGACAGTGCATCTGGGGCAAGCTTCTCTCAGCCTTCCCCAAGAGGCAACCCACAGAGCAGCAGCAAGGAGCAGGCATGAGCCGTGTGTCCCATGTGGTGCAAGGCATTCTGGGAATTGTAGCTCACTATAGCAGCAGTGGTACTCATTGCTGCTGGCGAGGGGGAGTAGGGGGGAGATTTCATCACGATTTTTTGTACTGAAGCCCATGTCAGGAGGGCAAAAGGAATTACTGATTTTAACAAAAAACAAATTTGCCCCCTAGCTATAGCAAACCCCACTGCTGCTCCACAGAACTATGGTTCTCACTCAGAACAACTTACACTCCATAACACACATTGCCCACGCTGCTGGGATGTGCAAGACCAGGGAGGAATGGGAGAGTGAAGTGCCTCTCCGCTTAGGCTGCCTCCAGGGTATGTGCCCCACTTGCCCACCCCATGCTACACTATTGGAGAAAGGTTATATCACTTCAGGGAGAAGGCAGAGCTGGAAGACTGGGGCGGGGAAAGACACCTGCCTGCCCAAGAGCACCAATTAAAACCCAAGGAGGACTCTGCGGAGTAATAAGGACTCTGCAGAGAGAGGTGAGAAAGAAATTCAGGAATTTGCTGTTTTGCCTGTATCCATAACTCTCATTTGTGTTGTCTATGAGCCAAGTTTGTATGTCTAAGAAGCTCTGATACAAAACTTTTGTCTCTTGCTTTAACTGTCATGAGGTCCCAAAGGATTAAACTATAATCTAGAGTAGGGCTGTCCAACTTCTAAATGGCTGGGGCTTCATGCCCTGTGGGCCGCACCAGCAGGGCCACAAAACAAATGGTGCACACCACGGAGAGATGCCTATCTAGGACCATGCAGGTTGACCAGAGGTGTCTGAACTAGTACCTTATAGCTATCTGAGGTATTTAGAACTGTATACTCATGTTAGCTCAGTGCTTTACTTGTGTTAATTATATATGGACAAATTAACTCAGGTATCTCTACATAGGACTCTGAATTGCCCATGTACTGCTAAAATGATCTGGAAACTCCATTAAATGCCAGTACCGGGGATGTCATCATTACACTTTTTATATCAGTGATTCTCAAACAGGGTGTCACAGCACTCTGGGGTGTTTTGAGATACTTTCAAGGGTGCTATGGGGAACCATGCAATGTTAGCACTGTTAGGTGTGCAAATATGATTCACAAGATAAACCTAGAGATTTCATATGAAAATCCATGGTGTCCAAAACATTTTGGTTTGTTGTGGTCTTTCTGAGATCTTTGCAACAGAAGGATTGCTCTATTATTTTTCTGTAGTCAAAAATAGTGAAAAATAAGAGCTGGTATTTTCCAAGGGATGCCATGAGTTGAACAAAGGGTACCACAAGTCTAAAAAGGTTGACAACCACTGTTTTATATTTTCCAAAAATCATTTCTTCCCAGATCCACCCAACAACTCGAAGACACGTGGACTATGGAAGACATAATAGGGATGAATTTTCTCCAGGATCTTAATATGCCAAGAAACCTTGTGCAGTTTTAAGTGGCAATATTTTGGCAATCCCAGAAGTGCCCTCACTTTGACTTATCCTGGAAGTGCCCTCACCTTCATGTGTAAGCCAGTGATTCTTTGCTTGGAGCTGCACAGAGATGCAAAGCATTGTGAAGGTCCTCTTCAGTAGAGTAGTTACCTTTCCTCTCCTGGCACCTCTTGGTAGCCTTTCCCATAACTTGTCCAGCAGTGTCATCAGCTCTTGTGGAGACTATTCCTTGCAAATGCCATTGCCAGAGTACTTTCAACATGTGGCCTCTCTCTGAGCTGGCTATGTACAATTCTAGTTGAATCTCTGATCTGTACAGATTCGTCCTTCTCTACGTGCAATGTTGTGCATGCAAACAAAAGGGTTTCTTTCTTTCCCTGTATCCCCCCTCTCTCTCCTTCTCTGCATTCATTTGAATGACAAAGGTTTCCAATTACAGTCCTCCTGGGGAATCAAACAGCAAGGCTTGCTGCTCGCTTAGTGACTGGCAGATTAAGACAGATAAAGGGAGAGATCTGTATATTGACTCTGTGTTTGTGTAATTCAGGGGATGGGAGAGTGGCTGGGAGTGAGGAGGAATCTGACCCATATAAATAGCCAGCAGCATTTTAAAACTAAATCATCTTGAAAATTCATGGCCAACTCTGTCAGTTCCTTCTATTGTATCGCTGGAGAATCATAAATAATTCAGCCTTGCTCAAATATTTATTGAAATCAATTTAGCCCTGAGTCCATCATCCCTCTCTGAGAAAACAGTTCCTTTAGCATCTCCTCTACCCTCCATGAGCCTAGTTAGGAAGAAGACACCTGTTACCTCCCAGCTACGCCTATAGGGGCCAATGGTCAGTACTGCCAGCAGGTCTGATTTAGCCATCCTACCTATCTGTGATACCACTATTTCTAGGTTTTGTGATTTGACAGAGGCACACAGGGAAATACATCTCTCTATAGGAAGCAATAAGCTTGATGACAACTTCAGAACTGCTGCATGCCACATGACAGAAAACAGGTATGTAACCTCATACCACATACACCATAATAAGTACCCAAGCATCACACCTATCCCTTGTGCAAAAGGATCTCAGCTCTGCCATAAGGATGATGACACCTGCAAGATTTCTTTGTTCCTCCTTCTCCCTCCATCTGTTTACTCATTGACCTGCAACAACTGCACTTCTAGACTGTAAGCTCTCTGGGGCAGGCACTGTGCATTTTGTTCATTCAGTTAAATAGGGCCCAAACTGGTGAGTCCTTTATATGCTATTGTAATATAGAAGCGAATAATTTAGGAGTAAAGTTCATCTGTGAGAGGACAGAGCTCTCTCAGGGGTTGGCCTGGAGCTATGAAATGAATTCCTCCTTCCTCCCCCGCCCCCTTTCTGCTCCTACTGCACAGTGCACTTTTCCCACCTGCCTTCTTTAAAGTATTGTTGCCTGTCTGGCTTCAGCAGTTAACCAGTATTCCAGGCCTTTCAAGTTTGCATCTCTTAGGAGGAGAAATGGATGACCCAAGTAAGGTATAATCTTTGGTGCAATCCTAGGGTGGGTTTTGTTGTTTT